GGGGGGGTCTCCCCCCCCAGCACGAGTGAGGGTTGAGCTGGCCTCTCCCACAGTGATGCCGAACCTGTCCTGGGATGAGGAGGAGGAGGCGGCAGAGGAGGAAGAGTCTGCAGAGGAGTCCCCCGAGAAGCCCCCCAAGGCCCAGGCTGCCAAGAAGGGCAGCGTCGCCAAGGTGTGCGCAGAGCCGCCGGGCGCGCGGCTCCTCCGCAGAGCTGGCAGAAGGGGGTCCCGCGTGCGGGGTGGTGGCTGGGCCGCGGGACGCAGGCTGCTCTGAGCTCCCTCCAAGCCCCCATGCTGCAGCCAACCCGAACGACCCTCTCCTTGAGTGGGATGAGGTGTGCGGCTTGTCCCTTGGAGAGGTCGCAGGCTGCTGGTCGTGGGAGTCCTGTCCTCCTGCGCTTGCAGATGTGCCCAGCCCCGTTAACTGCATCTCTCCCTCCTAGAAGAGGAGGCTGGAGAAGGACGAAGAGCTGTGAGTATCACGGAGGGAGCTGGCAGATGTTGGGCAGGAGCGTGGACCAGCCCTGCCAGGGAGCAGCGGGATTTGCCGGGGTCTCCTGCCGGCTCGGCAGGAGGAACCGTGATCCCAGCCCTCTCCTTCTCTCCCGAGCAGGAACAGCGTCTCCTCCGAGGATCCCCTTCCCAGCAAGGTAGGAGCCGGCCGTGCTGCCGGGGAGTCTCCGTCTGTGTCCTGTGCCTTCCCAGTGGCTCCCTCTCCGCCCCTGGCTGGCTCCGGGCAGGCTCTGAGCTCCCGTGGGACCACAGGGCCTGCCTGGATTAATCCTGCTCGATCAGGACTGAGAGCCCTTGGGGAAGGAAAGGGACTGACACGTGATGCTCATCATGGTCCTGGCTGGTTGCTGGACTCTCTAAAATGGGAGAGTAATGAAGGGCCCGGGAAGGTCGGGTTGTCCTGGCTGGGCTCGGCCTGGGCTCCCTGTGCTCAGCACCGCGCGGCTGTGGTAAGCCGTGGTCTTGGTCCTCTGGCAGGGGCGAGGAGCAGGCAGGGGGAAGAAGCCAGCAGCAAAGAAGTAGTGTGAGCTACAGCAGGGCCTGGCCAGGTAAGGGGGGAGCGAGGCCACAGTGTCCGGGTGCGATGGTTTCTCCTCCGAGCAGCAGGCTCGGAGGGTGCTGGTTGCTCGTCTGCTCTCCTACATGGAGGACAGGGCGTGATGCTGGGCTGAGGTGGCCTGAGCGCGTTAGTGCTCTGCCCAGAAGCTGGGGAGGGCTCGAGTCCAGCATCTGCTTGTGCTGCTCAGCCTGGAAACGGAGCTGCTTCCCTGCCCGCTCCCTGCGGGCGAAGCGAGCCAGGACTGACCTGCAAGGCTTGGAGCTGCTCCTTGTGAGCCCCTCGGAGAGGGGGTGGGAGCCCGTCCCCAGGGAGAGCAAGGAGAGCCTGGGATGCCCGTGTTTAAGACTCTTTCCACTTCCCTTTCAGGGCCTGGTGCAGAAGAGTTTGGAAGCCTATCTTTTTTTGAAGAGTTTGGAAGACTATCTTTTTTTGTTTTTTGTGCAGTCCTCCTTAAATAAAGGATCTGTTTTGCACCCCTAGCTCTGTGCTGGGGCTGGAGGGCTGGGACAAATGCTGGAGGCTTGATGCCTCGGCCCTTC